ATCTGAGATGTGATAAGATAAGATGTAAACGTGCACTAAGAATCAACTTTTTAAGATTGTGTGGTCATTAAGATGAGACATCTGTCATATAGGTGCTTGAAGACTACTTGATTATACTTGATTATTCAATAATCAGCTATTCAATTAGTTACGAAAGAATCCTCTTAGAGAAATTCCTTTTGGGTTTCCCATGTGCATTATTATACGGACGAACCGAATGACTTAATCAAAGATTATCAAACAATACATATGAAATTATGAGTGAGATACTGAAAATAAGGGATTTTCTATTGAAATAGCATTCGGGTACATCGTCATAATCTAAATATTGTTATGCGAAAAAGTCGTTCAAATCAGCTAAAAAAGAGCTACGGATGTGAGAGGAGAGAAATTTTGGAATGGAATTTACTGGATCAGTATGAGCATTGAATGTAGAGAGGAATGCTTCGAGCAGTTTCGTATTGTAATGTATCATCAGAAGACGTCGGAAGTTGAACGGGATCTTTGTTCTCTTCAAAAACCAAGAACAATGCGTCGACTGGATCCGGCTTTTGACAGGTTGTCACGGCAGAGATTGGTATTTGATGAATAAATTGTCGATGTTGGTTTTTTCTTCCTATTCACTGGTGTTCAGAACGATCATAGTTGTCAATATAAACGAGTTTGAACATCGCACGCACGTGAGACCTCTACCTGCTCAGTTCAACTAACATTACAGTAATGCAACAATACAGTGGAGAAGTGTGAGTAACGGTTTCGGTCAAAACTATTTCTATCTCTCAATTTCTCATCAAGAGCTGTGACAAAGCCACGTAATGTGAGAGCAAACAGCGAGTTGTTTCCAATGTTAATGCGGCTAGATTAATCAAGTTTTGTGCGCGTTATCACATGAAGAAAAATATGGAGCATTAGTGATTAAAGTTTTGGTATATAGCGATGACCAGAGACGAAAACCTTGAGTGAGTTTCAAACTTGTGATTACTTTTTCTGGAGGTTCGCGTGTTATCCACTACATCAGCATGGCCCTTGCTTTGCTATACTCTGAGCTATATTATTTACTCTGTCAGTGCCATTAGCAATAACTCGTCAACAAGAATGATAGAGAGTATAAAATGGCACTGAATTCAGTGCAGCTGAAGCTACAGTTGAAATTACGTTTTCTACACGATTGGACTGATATGAGGGTAATATAAAAAGTTTTATTGATTATCGCTACAGTGTCTTCGTCTTAATCAGAGTCTACAGATTAAGAAATTAAAGAACCGCGAGGACACTTTTGTTTTCTTTCTCTTGGGGAAACAACATTCGGCCTCTTGAGGCTTATCGGCACATTCACATGGGGACGCCTCAGCTCAGCCATTTCCTCAAGATCGAATGGAGAATCGCTTTGAGAAGCATTCGCGACATTTACAAAGGAGACGGAATAATCAAGCAGCAGCTGAAAACTGAGCGCAATATGTGCGAAGACCACTGCAGAGGATGAATGCGAGGTAGCGAATCGAATACAAGAAGTGTTGGGAGGTGAGCATTATACGTGATAGTAGGTCTCACGAGGAGAGTTTTTCTTCCATATAACATATTCATTGTTCTTCTTTCCATTTACACTGACATGTGACTGTTGAAAGCAACGATCAAGTTAAAACATGATTGGAAGAAGAGCAAAGCATAGGGATTGGTCGCCGTGGTGGATAGCACGTGTACTCCCGTAAATGGTGATCGCGAGTTCCAAGTGTAGATGAGGAGCTAATTTTTGCTCATATCATAACATCTTTGTTGTTGCACTTCGCATTTGAACGGACTTAATTCGAATCTGAGTTGAACTTAAGTTGAGGAAAGTATGCATAGAATATAAAGCACAATATTTGTCTGTTTGATCGAAATATACTTGATAATGACAGAAAAGTAAATAGAGAAAAGGTACCTCGATGTACGATAGGAAGGTGACTGTCGGACAAAAAGAAGGAAAACCACGTTGCCGCTATGCGAAAGGCGAATTGTGAATGGGAAGAGAACTGATACTTCTCTATCAGAACTCAGATAGTATGTGATGATCGTGATAACGTTAAGCCTATTCTTTCAACTTACAAAAAACAATCCATACCAATCGAGAGCGGATAGCGCACTGGTTAGTGATGAGACTTAGTAGGAGGCAAGTTGATAAGCAAAGCTTTGTCTGGACTCCTTCACCTAACACTCTATTGCAATCATTCAATGAACTTATGAGGCAGCGCCTTTGCTCGCTTACTTCAAAAAGTGCAGGGAGAATAGTCTTGATCAGCATTCAACAACATTCATAAAGAGGCGAAATCTAGCAACAATAAGTGAAATGCAAAAATTTGAACATTAGACTCCGATTAAATCTACATTTCATGCTTTCCGAGGGTGTGAAAACCAAATGGGCTACGGACACTTCTATTCTGTCATCACTCTTCCTGCCATACAATTTTATCGACCTGCAAGCAACCAACAGTCAACGGTTTCTCCTGACAACCACATGTCGGCATTGAACTCAGCTAAGCTGACAGATAAATGAGTGAGTTGCACGTTTGATTCCTCATCTAAAGTTCAAAGTTTTGCATAAGGCTCAACATTATTGAAAATGTAATTGCATTATCATACCACCGCTAGAGCTGTTAATTAGTGAATTCTTATTGAAAACGAAAGCCTTAAGCAGCAGCAGAATCAACACGTTAACTGTTTAAGGCCCATTGTGAAGGATGAGAAAGGAATCGAATACGGGGGAGATGGGATCCGCACAGTGAATTATGACAACGAGTCGCATAAAAAAAATCCATGTCAACTAGTACGGCGCCGAAGGCAGGACAGCACTGCGGATTCGATTTGTGTCGAAATAAAGACCAATGAACAAGAAATCAATTTGTGTTTGAACAGGAGCTCTAACCAGATAACGCTGTGACCACTATACCCGCAATATCAAAGGAAAATGACGGGATGAGATGCTTCATAACAGCCCACTCTTGTTCTATTCGCATGTATTGTTCCAGTGATTAAAATGTAGTTGAATTCTTAATGTCATTTGTATTCGAGAAATAGATGGTGACCAATCTTTAAAGATTGCCCCAGACAAAAAAATTCATTAAGCATCGTAAAAGTGTTTGAATGCGTATTTGACATGGACTTGCGATAGCCTCAGTGTCTCTGTCCACTCTACTGCCCTCATGCTGTGCCCCAGAGAGATTAAGTGACTTAAATGACCCCTGGAGGGGTTATTAAAACTATAAGTGTTTGCATCACATAAACACATTAACGATGAAATCTTGTGCATGGATACCAAATATTTTCGTATGATCACTTTTGTAAGGTCTCTTAATGGAGCCCTTGTAATTAACAGATAGTTTGACTCATACAGATGCTTCCCTGTGAGTCTATCTGTTCGTCATTGTAACGAGATTTGCTGCAAATAATCAAGTGACAAATTATTAAGATGACAGCTATTTTTGGGCTAGTTGGGGTTCCACGTTTACATCTAATAAGCTATTGACTGATCGCAAAAAATCTAGGTAAAAACTGTGCACCAAGATCACCAGGGAAGATTTTGACACCTATGGGTGTCGAACATCATTCTGTGTGCTGTAAAAATTTTCGTACCTCAACCATAGTCGAGCCTTCGTATACTAATTTTTTTTAAGCAGCTTGTACACACTGTATACATATTTATATATTTACATAAATGTTGTGGGTGTAATAAGACATTTCTACACGAATACGTACGTATACTGGGAGCTGAAAAAGTTCTGTCAGTTTTTTCCAGATATTTTAGAAAGTGAAAAAATTGCATAAAAAACGGAATCATTCTATTGAAGGGGTGATCACGTTTATTAGATTAAGACCTATAACAATAAAGAAAAGATTTATAACAAATTGGCAAAATTGCCTCTTTTGGCCTCTATACATTTACAAAGTCGCTTGCAAAAATTCGCAACGATGCGCTCAGAGCTTCCACCGTAATTTCGTCTCAAGAGCGTGTCAGAGCCGTTTTAAAGCGCCTCCGCGGTAGTGTAGTGCGAAGCCGAGACTTGTTCCTTCACTATGGACCACACGGAGTAACCCACTGGGTTGAAATCCGACGTGTTTAGCGGCCAGTTGCCCTGCTCGAGAAGGCTGGAAACAACTCTTGACAGCTGGAAATCGTTAAGCGGGACGAATGCAGGAGCGCAGTCCTGCTGAAGCATAAATCTGCCGGTGCTAAAGTGCTGAGTAGTCCAAGGCTTCAACACGCTCCGCAAAACTTGCTGTTGACAGCTGAGAGAGTCGAATTTGACGATTCTGTTTGTTAAGACCAACAGCGTCTTTCCGGTGGCGCAAATGCTGGCCCAGACCATAACAAAGAGTGGAAAATGACTGCTGCTCATGGTTTTTGCTACTGAGGACTTCTGCTGACTCTTCTTGAAAAATTGACGGTGATAATGACTACTGTGGAGTAGTTCGACTGAGAATATCTTCTCGTCGGTGAGAAAACACCGTCGACAAACGAGCATCAGCTATTAAACGAATCATTGAGCAGCCTTCAAAAGTCGCTTTCTTTTGATCTTCTTGCCAGAAAGTGAACACGAGAGATTTTGCAGCTGCACAGCTTCAGCTTATTTTTGATAATGTTTCAGATGCTCCACTCGGTGATATCAAGCCATTTTACGCATCGAAGGATCCGGATTTTGTTGAACTTCTGAATTTTTTTCTGGAGTAGACGAGGTGTGTGGACAACCTTTTCGAGGAGTGTCCTCAATTCCTCCAGCCTCTATGAAACGTTCCATGGCTCTGTAGACACCCGCTGGTTTCAAAACCAGCTGATTTTAACAATAGTGGTCTTTTCAATTTTCGTCTCATGCAACTCAATTACTGCGTTTACGCTCATTTTTACGGTCCATAACATAGGCATATCCGAAAATAGACAAATTAAATAAAAGATATATTGGTAAATTGAGTGATAAGCAAAAATACATAAAGTAGAGATGTTGAAGAATGAGTGGTGGTGCGAATGTACCTTGTTGGTGTAGTGGTAGCACGCGTCCCCGGAATGGATGGGACGCTGGTTCGACTTCCGCCTGAGGTCGTATTTCTGCTCACCACTCAATTCTCTCAGGTATATGTGAAAAATCATAAAATTGCGAAAATGGCAACAAAAAGAACTAGAAATCTGGAGTATTACGAATACTAATCCCAAAGCATTCAGAAAAAAAATTATCTGAATCAACAAAGAAATATTATACCAATGCTAGATTTAACAGAACACAAAATTACCAGGACTTTTGTGGCATCCTACATATATATGCATGCACACATATATTTATATATATGTATATATATATATATATTATATATATATATATATCATACGTACGAAAATCCTGCAGTTTTAACAGACTGCATAGAAATATCACTATGTACGTGCAAACTTCAGTACTACAAATCGCTTTCTTTCTCTCACTTCAACATACTTAGTGCGAAACGAGCCTTTGACATTCTCAATTCGTTCATTTTACCTCCCATAATCAAAAGCTTCTATTACAGCTGTGAAATGTTTCCGTGGCTTTTTTCTCTTCTGAAAATAATTATTTTGCGCGCCAAGAGCAATTGAGTGTCTAGAGGAGATTATGGAGACACTATACATGAAAAGAGAAACGCAGAAATTCTTCTTTACTGTTTGATATAGTGGTTTATATGACATTCATAGCCTGTTGTTATAAATTCAGTGCATACTGACAGAACACTGGGCGAAGGTCAGCCACGTCAACAAACAGATTTCGCCAAGAATTTAATACTGTGGACAACATCCACACGATCACAAAACTGATTGAAGTTGCACGAGAGCACAAAAGACCGCTGTGTCTCAACTTGATACGAAAAACCTTTTGATTCAGTAGAAACAGAAGCGGTCATAGAGGCTCAGAAGCCCCTACTCGGTACATAACGATTCTTCGTGATCTATATAAAGGTTGACAATCAAAATATCAACTCTATAACGATACTAGTATTGACGTAAGAAGAGGCGTTCGTTGAGGGATACAATCTCGCCAAAATCATTCGCTGCCTTTTTCCATAACGTCATATAAACATCAGAATGGGGCAATATGAGAGTAAAAATCGACGGTCGATAATTGAACTATCTCCGCTCGCTGGTAATATCGTAGTTATAACACAAAGCATTAGAGAGGAGGAACGAATGTTGATCGATTTTGACAACGCTTGTGGGAAGATTACTCTGACTGAATTTAACGAAAACGATGTTTACGAGAAACAAATGGGTCTTGAATGTCCCACTCACGCTCAAGAAAACAAATATCTTCAGATACTGCAATTACGTCTATTTATCTGTTGAAGTCAACATAATAAACGGCCTAGCTTTAGAGTTGGGCAGGTGTTCAAGAGCATCGAAGATATGGTGAAAAGGAAGAAGAACATGCGACTCCGTGCGCACCGATTCGACTCAATGATTATCCGTCCTAACGTATGCATCAGATACCTGGTCGTTACGTAAGCAGGATGCAAGATCACTTAACGTTATTGCACACGGAGTCGATAGGTCGATGTTAGGAGTATCTCGCGTCTCGTAAATAAGAGAAAAGATCCGAAGTTCTGACCTAAGTCAATGATCGAAGATTGAAGATGCCGTTCTACTCGCTAGGCTGTGACAAATTAGGTGAGTCGGACACGCACATCGCTTTAGCGACAACCGATTGAGGGCCGTTACCAACTGGATTTTTCGTGATGTCAAGAGCTTCACTAGAAGACCATTGACACGATAGTCAGCTTTATTCACGAAAAGTCTGGAAGAAATATGATGCTCAACGATTTCTTAGAGTGATGAGGACTCACTGGGTTTCTCTGGCACGCGATAGAGAATGAGAAAAATGCAGAAGTATGTATGATACAGTTTCAGTTGCATTACTGGATCAGATATTTTCCTTTATTGAGCTTCCTCTAAAAATTAGGATAGATACCAGTAACGGAAGTTAAGTAAATAGTGAGTCATTAGTGAATTTCAGAATTTCAGCAAAAGCATCGGGTTCAAGGGTTTAGTTATATTTCAACTCAAAATGAATCTACCAAGTTGCTCCGTTCTACATTTCCTCATCAATACACAAACTCAGTGCTATCGAAAATCCTGCTCCGACCGATCATTCAACAACTAAGGTTATACCTATCATCAAGTGTATAAGAGAGTTGACGTCTGAAATAAGATGGTTACTAAATCTCATCCTTACTCAACCACTCAAATTCACATCAACCATACACTAAATACCAAAATATTCCTATATCACCAAACGGTGCACGCAACCAAATAGCGACGTGTAATGATGTCTTCGATGTTACCCTCACTTGATACTAATGTCTCAAAAGACTCCACAATATAAACCACTGTCGGGTTCCACAGAGAAAATGAAGGTAAAAATTAAAGGGAGAAACAAAACGAAATCTGGTTTGTATTCTTAAATACCTTTCGCTTAGAGTGTTTTCTTAAGACCACATGTGGTCTATGGAGTGTACAACACTGTTTGTTTAGTAATAATTTCACTGAAGTTACAGTGTAAAATGTTCGTCGTTGCCTACTCTTAGTATAGGGGATTGAGCGCCCCGAGAGGATTGGCTAAAGACGAAAGGGTACCGCCCGACTGATGAAACCGTTAGGGTTGAAACACGTTTATTGGTTTCTATAAGTCAGCCCTTATTATATAACAGACCACATGCGTGGCGCAGCAATGATTATCTGACATATTTCTAAATATTTATTAAACTTCGGTAAGGGGGCTACAGAACAAAGCACTGAAAGTCTACCAGCAGAATTATACTAGTACATACCTCCGCACTTCACATGTAAAAAAAAACATATTAAAATCGCATGCTGAATATCTGAAAATGTGTGAAGGAAAAACCAGCCACTAAAACTAGCACGAAAATTAGCCACATCCCATTGCTATAAAGCAGTTGTCCCTCGAGTAAAGTCAGTAGGCAGGGCTTTGCCTTGAAATAAAGTTTCGAGAGCAAGTTAGATTTTTCACAAGTTTCTTACCATATGGAAAGTATTAGGTTGCTCTATTAGGAGGTGGCCGGAAATAAGTGACTATGGAAATCCTTAGACAGTTGCTTAACTCCCATCTAACACATTAGGCCATCATTTAGTTCGGAGCCGCCTTCACGGTTGTTCGTGCAGCTCGAAAACGGTACTGATTACTCAGGCTTATGTAAGGCAAGCGGAGTAGAATACTTTGTGAACAGGGGTGGACCACTTTTCTTACGCACGAAAAAAATTCTAAATGGTAAACTCAAAACTGGACAACGTACTAGCCTTGGTACACATAAAGCACAAAAGCACAGCGGTGATGAACTGAAGTGACTGATCACCCATCAGTGAGAGAATCGATACACCAACACGTGAGTTCCTTGGAGAACTTCAAACTAGCTTTGAGAATCCAGGAATGGACCGGGAAGACGAATGCACCACTGCCATTTATGGTCTGGGTGACTCCACAAGTCAGTTGATGTGAATAACATTATAGTCTCATATCTTGTAAAACGGTGAGTAGCCCTTCTTTAAAGGGTGGCGTTCAAATGCACAATAGTTCTTCATTTGTACTATAAATATCCCACCAAATTATATTCAGGCTTTGAACAACACAAAGTCACGAGGTTAGTCATCGAATCATAACGATTATATCGTAAACAACTAGTTCACTTCAGCATTTGACAGAAGTTAACAACTGTTTTAGTGACGATCGCAGTGTTAAAAACATGTCTAAAACCACACATCAATAACGCTATATCAGTGTCAAAACAGCATAAGCAACAAAGGGATCAGAGGGATCCAATAAGTACGGGATAAGTACAGTACATGAGCTAGACGTGACCATTAAGACAAGAGAGCAGCTCTGAGGCGAGTGGTGTGATATGATGTAAGGGATTGAGATATAAAACCACAGTGCCTAGGAGATGAACTAATTATAAAACACGTGTGAGATCATAATAACATGGAGGACTCTCACAGTGGCAAAATGTTAAGCAGGATTAATCACATATTACGCTAATATATGAAATCATAACGGTGGATCGCTGCACCTCGGAATGTTAAGTAAATGAACGAGCGCGACAATTGAGACTTTTGTAGAGTACTTACATAGAACGCGAGAAATTGCTACAGTAATTTCAGCATGACGACGATGCAGGAGTGTGAAACTCAATTTCTCTACCTGGGCGAATCAAATGAGAAATGAGCAGATAAACTGAGGTAACATAGGAAAGTAATGTGGAACGGTGATGGCAATTTCTACTTGCCGTTTAAAAAAATGGCAACGTTAACGCGTGGTTAATTTTTGGCCTTGCAAAAGGTGTCAGCGGTGAGGAGTTTACTAACACAGTACTGACCAGCTTGGAGCAGAAAATTGTGTTGACTGCTATGGCTTAGTGACTGTGGAACGAGATGACTATTATGAAGCAATTATGAGAAATTCGCTGAAAATGCATGGAGACATAGAGGACTTTCGATATTTACGCCCATGTTATTTTTAGATGTTAAAAATACAAGAACAATGGAGTTGGGTTGTGTCGTAGTCCAGCTATGGCCACAAAATAATTACTAGCAAACTATTCACCAGAATTGCACAACAAAGGAGACCTCAAGGTGGGATCCAAAAAGGAACTATGTAAGCTTTATGAAAAAATTTATAAATTCTATGAAAGCTCATAGATTGGGTCAATTATATGTCGTTGTCCACTTAACGCATTCTAAGAAAGCTATCGTCGATATTCCAGACATTTAAATTCAAGAAATCTATTTTATTAAAACTTTTATTCCGGTCAGTAGAACGCTACGTGAGAAAGTTAAAATTAATTCAAAAAACGTCACACGCGTGCTTTCAAATTCAAAGTGAAGAATATCCAAACACAAATGCATATTATATAGAATTTTCTTAAACCTTTCAGAGGTCTGGTATGGCAACTCAAGTGCTAGATGTGCGCTTCGACTTCCTTACAAGCCTTATCAGAAGCACATGCAATTCGGCTACTCGTACTACTATTTTATAGGGACTCGACGCCGTATATGTTGCACTCTGCATC